GGTGTTGGTCTCTTCTCCCAGGTAACTAGTGATAGGAGGAGAGGCAAGGGCCTCACAAAAGTTGCATCAGGGGAGGTTTAGTTTAGATATTATGAAAATTTTCTTTACTGAAAGAGCAGTCAGGCATTGGAACAGGCTGTCCAGGGAGGTGGTGGAGACACCATCCCTGGAGGTGTTCAAAAAACATGCACATGTGGCACTTGAGGATATGGTTTAGTAAGAACGGTGGTGTTTGGTGGATGGTTGGACTCCGTGACCTTAGAGTTTTTTTCCAACCTATGATTCTATGTTGTACTTGGATTCAGACAAACACCACGTTATTTTGCTACATATCTTCTGAATTCAATGGGTCCAGTTCTACTCTGATTAGTGTACAAAGATCTATCATTGGTCTATACAAATCTACAACAAAAATAGTAGTATGGGAACAAGAACATAGTGAACAACATTTCCAAAAGTGGCAAAGTTAGGAGCTACACTAGCATGGAATGAGCATGTTAAATGCATGGTTACATGTATTTGTCACAGAAACAGTAACAAGAGATTAAAATCTGAAAGGGAAACCTGCGAGCGAGTCTCCTGGTGCAAACAAAGCAAGAACTTTGTGTGTCGGCTCTTCACCATAAAGAGGAACGAAGCCCACACTTGACAACTTAATAGGAATCTGAAACAAGAGTGTACAATACTTCAATAGACTATTGCTACAATAACATTAGTAAAATATACAGAGAATGTTTAGCAACATAAGCAAGATGAATGTTGAAAACTGAGTGCTTAACAGTTAACCGTAAAGCATAAGCATCAGACTCCGGCCCTTACTTTGGACATTTCTTCCTAAAGACAGACTACTATAAAGAGTTTTGACTCTCAAGCTCTGCCAGATTTAGCTACCGTCGTTTATACCATCACAGCTCTCTGCTGTCAGCAGTTTGCATTTATGTGCACAACTGAAGGAAGTTGTGCAAAGAATCAGCAGTATGTTCACTTCAACTGTCCCAGCTACGCACGTTGCCAAGGCCAACAGAAGAACGAGGCAGGCAGTTAAGCACAGAAACAACCTGGCACAGCAAAATTGTTTTTTGTTAACACGAGCCCTAACATGCTAAGGTGGGAAGGCTGGATTCAGAATGGTGTTCTTCCCTTAAACTGCACACATTTTACAAATTCCAAAATTGTCTGCTTCACTTCCCCTCAGGAACAACATGAGAAAGGTCAAATCAATCCACTTTTCAGGAGTTGAGTACCTTTGTGGAAATGTATTTTGATATTTAAATTCACATGCTTTCAATATTTAATGCATATAAACCAGACAGACATTAATGGTGTGGTAAATATATAAGTTTACCCAATTTAATGAGATTATGATATGCTATGCTGCAAATGAGGGTGTTAACACAAACAACTATTTAGGCAGACAGCACCTGCAGAAATATAGGAAAGCACTCAAAACTCTGCTTCCGCCAAGGAATCTGCAGCACTGACCTTTTGTTCCCACAGAGAATCCTCTCAGCTTACTTTTCATTAAAGCTGTACACCATTGCTTTTATTGGTACTAGTTCTAATAGAAACGTTCATCTAGACAGAACCAGCATTGACCAACTTATCATGCAAGGTTTAAGTACTTAAAACATGACGCATCACAGCCAGCCTCTACTACAACTCCCAACAACAGCAGGGAATTTTTCAGCTAAAAAGGAAAGAATCATTTCTGAAATCAGTGAAACTTGCTTATCAGAGATTGAATCTAACCACGAAGGACACTGAAGGACTGAGATACTGAAGCTAACTGGCTCTTTTTGTAACTCATGAATGCCTTAGTTACGATGACAGATTTTTGTGACTGTGTGAGTTTGTGCTTTTCAGGAAAGAGTTTGACTCTTCAGTTGAAATTTAAGGTTTTTGAAAAATTACTTAATGCATACAGATCCACTGCCTAGAAGCAGCAAATAGTCACTGATGCCCTGATTTAAACCCAGTTACAGAATGAAAAAAAGTAGAGCTTAACACACAAACAGGAATTTGGAGAAAACAAAAGCATTGCTAAAATCGTTATGTAATTCAATAGTTATGCACTGGATACTTTAAATCTTTTAAATCTACAAGTGTATCAAGAAAACTGGGACTAAGGTATTTGCAGGTTCTTACTTTGCTGTGGTCCGGCAGAGACAAGAATTCGGGATGGTTTGGATTCCCACACCGAAGGCCAGACACGTAGTTCTCTCCCGAGATCTTCAATTGCTCATGACTGCAGCTGTTCAAGATATCCACAGGGAATGACATCCTCTTGAGAAATAAGCAACATTATTACTGTATGTAGTTTGTGAGACAAAATGCAGTTTATCACATATTCCTACTAAACATGTAACTAAGACTGTTGAACAGCCCCTCCCCGCCGCCCACCGCTGCTCTCCAGAGCCCTCTAATATCCAAGCCAGAAAGGAGAAATGCTCCAGGCATTTAACTAGGATGATACCTAGTAACAGCCAGTCTGTAAAACAACACACAAACTCGATCTGTGTTTATAAGCAGAAAAGGATGCATTCAGCCCATAGATGCCCCCAGACCCAAACGTGGCAGATTTCCAACATACAAGCCCCCCCTGTTTGCAGCACATTTACAACAGACCACATTCTGTCTTAAGGTGGCAGGCTCCGTTATCTCCCTCCCAGCTCATGTTTTTGAGGCTGCAGATTAAGCAATAAGTGGCCAGTCAAACAATAAGTACACAGCCCAAAAGATAACACGAAAGAGGAGTTCATTTATTTTGGAGACTTTGTATTTAAATCTGTCTCTGAAGAAACCAAAGCACTCTTCAGAATTTCTCTCAACTGGCCAGTTAGTGTGTCTGCCAGCTCGTTGTTTCCAAGAGTATTTCAACTGAGAACAGGAGATGCTACAACCTCATTAAAAGGAAGCGCCCACAAGAGACTAAAGAGACACTTGAAGGAGGTGACAAGACAAAAGCTAAAGCACTGAAGACCATAGTGGCCACAGGTCCTTGAAAGCTCTTAGATTCAAATTTTCCTTGTCAAAGCAGTGTCAAGATGAACAAGAGCTCCTGGAATCCACCAAGCGCTCTTCAAGGTCTCTAAAACTTCAGACAGAAACAGACCCTTCAGGTCCCTTCAGGCTACAGTCCAAACTCTCACAAACATGAGCTACCACAAGCTCATGAGAACCTGTTCTGGAGGAACACAGGGATTGCTTAATCTGTCTTGCTCAGCTACCAGGAACTCATCACCCAACTCTCAAAAACACAAAGCTTTTAATAGGAGATTTACGATTCCTAGTCTCCACTTTAAATCCTAGTCTTCAATTATTTTTCTCCTTTATCTCCAGTCCTCTCCCTCTAATCCACCATTCAGTGTTCTACTGACACAGGTAAATCAAATGCAAAAGAAGTTATTACAACTCACCCAGCAGCAATTTAGAAGTCTAAATTTCAAAAGCTTTTTAACAGCAATAATACACTACTATTAAGTTGCTTGAATAGATGAGGCTGATTCTTCTATAAAAGAGATACTTTCTCTGTTAAAATTCAAAAATAAACTTGGACATCACTTCATTGGCATTTACAACTGCTAGCTTTAATGCTTTTGCTGACGAAAATAACTAATGCTTTCCATGAATGCTATTGTTTAGCTAGACACACATTCTGCACAGCAATTTCCTTTCTAATTCAACTCATTCCTTCCCCTTATCTGTTGTTTTGATTTTCTCTTGCCTTCTCTTTCAGTCTCTCACATTTCTCCTGCTATTGCTTACTGCCCTTTTCGGATGCTTAGCTGCATCTCTAAATTCTCCACCTGTTCCTTCCCACCTTCCAGGTGCTGCCCTTGCTAACAGGGCAGAAACAGGCAAGAGACACCTGACACCAGCCAACTGCATTTGCTCCTCCAGTCCACCAGTGAAGGGACTTCAAGGGCCCAAGGTGAGGCATGCCTACCTTTGGATGTAGCAGCAATACAGGAGCATTGCACAGCAGCCAGAGGAGCTGCTGCCAGGAAAGCAATTCATCCCACCGCTGGTCTCCTCATGTCTAGCAGGTAAGGTTTACCCACCCATATTACAGTTCTGAAACACACCAGCAGTACTGTGGTACACATAAACGGACATGTTTGCTGTAAGTATCTTGCAAGAGGAACAGGAAGAGAGGTGAAGTGTGAGATTGCCTGTCACTGATTCTACAATAGGATGGGGCTTTAGCACCCCGTTAGATGCAACAGGACAGGTAAATTCTGCTTAGGGGAATACAAGGGAATACAAACACATGAAAGTCACAAAAGTTAATTTTCTGTATGCTAGCAGAAAGGAGAAACCCCCCTCCACTATTAAAGAAATACCTAACTGCTGGGGTAACTGAGAATAACAGACAAACTGAGCTGAGCTTTCCTTATTACATGACAAAGACACAAGCAAGCCACAAGCTATAACTGAAAGCCTCTAGGTAATAATTCCTGACATTTTTAAAATAATAAAATCATGCAGGACCAAAGCAGAAAAATGCAATAAAAAATTCAGTAGATTATTCAAGTTCCAACCACTACAGCACTATTACAATAAAAGCAACCACCACATCTATGCCCATAAGCAAAAAAGACAAAAAAACCTCTTTTCTGCTAATTCATACATTCATTGAATTACTCTCAAAATCATTCAGACACCTCGTTTCTGTTTAGATCTTTGGGCTGCTTAGCACTTTGATACAGCATATGTTTAATCCACTCCCATCTCACTTGTATTAGTCACGTTTGACTTTTCATCTTTTATCATTTAAAGAAAACGGGTTATGCAGAAAAAAACCCCAAACAATACAGAGCAATGTTGACGACTGAACCAAAGAAAACCTCCCCAGTATCCCTGCTAAATAACCATCTATCATTTGTACCGTGCAGCATATCAGACATGTAAGGTGACAAGCAATCAAACGTTTGTGGGATGTAATTTGGCTCAGCATTGATGAGATCAGGAATATTGCACAAGTTCACTACCTCCCTGAAGAAATCCACAACTACACACAGAAAGTAATCAAATTACATTAAAAGTATTAAACAGGTGATGAAAGCAGAGTGTCCCACGCTGACCTACCGCAGACCATAAGGAAGTAGTTCAGCAGTCCAACATAAAAGTACCTTCATTTTGAAAGTCAAAACACCCTACCAAAGACAAACCAAATGGCTTCCGATAGTAATAAATTAATATATTTCCCTCACAAAACCACAATTGGTTTGTCAGTGCCTTTCACAAAGTAAAAATACAGATGGCTCCACATCCAGCCAGTCTCAAGTAATGCAGGAGAGAGAAAAAGGTAAAGAGAAAATAGCTTTTCAGTTTTTCTTGACAAGAGCATTACATATTTTTCTCCGCAGAGGCAGCAGGAACAGCACTGGCCTCTGCCACGCAGTCCCTCGTGTCCCTTTTTTGTTGCTCTAAGCTTTCATGTGCTGCACGACTGTAAAACTGTCAGGTCAAATCCTTGTCACACGTTGCAGGACCGTGCTCTGCTCATGCGGCACCACTCCAATTGGTCAGCACGCCGTCAGGCTGACCCAGCACATGCGATTTAGCCTTAAGCAACCAAACTCGTTATGACCATTAGTACTAGAAATATGTGTTTGGAGGAGGGAGATAATTTTTTTTTTTAAATGAGGCAACTTACGCTCTTCATGTTTCAAGTAAAAGAAAATAAATCTTACTCTCTTCATAACCATATCATTTCACATCATAGCATTAAAGATCATATGCATAAACTCACATGAGCAACATTTGCTTTAATGTGGAATTCTATCACTTTTTGTGATTGTCAACATTATGCAAGCTACTACATGAGAAAAGGCACGTACTTTTTTAGGCACAGCTGCAGCACCAGAGGGTACCACAGATCAATTCAAGGAACACCAACAAAAACCACATTTAACAGGATAAGTAAGCACATTTCTGTGCAAGTGAGGCAGTTTCTTATGCACAAAATCTTTATTACTATAAGCATTAATGTTCAAAAAAACCTTACATGTAGAATAAGCAGGCAACATTGCAAATTGATTTAATTACAACTACAGTTGCAACTCCAATTTCATCTGAGAAGTACTTAAAGGAGACGCACATGACATATGCAGCTTCCAGCTCACACATGGATTTCAGCTGTAATGAAGAGATCTGTTCATCCCTTTGCAGACCCTCAAAACCGAGTGCCATGAAATAGCAGGAAGATAATAAGCCAAAAGCTATATTGTTTCCTACAGCAGGTCAGAGGGCTTAAATACAGCTTAAAACTCATTTTGGGTGCCTTTATCTTAGGGGAACCAAGGTTTAAGTGGATAGGCTGCCAGCCAAGGATTTAGAGGAATCAGGATGAATTTCCAGCTCTAGCACAGACTTCCTGTGAGCACAGACATGTTACTTGATCTGCCTGAACTCCCCACCTTCAAAACCTCAGAGACCAGTATGAGAAGTACTATAGCAAAAGCACAAAATATTTGAATAGAAATTGTACCAAAACTGTAATCAAAACAAGTACTGGAAGTAGACAATTACTTACACAGCACAACTTAAGTGCACAGCTTATCTTCCTTTAGAGAAAAAAACCCACCACAATTCACCAAGGACTTTTCAACATAGAATAACTGGGACACATAAACATGCCTGGTATAACAAATATGTGCAAAACTAAATCAACAGTGTACATAGCAGGTGAACAATCTTCAGATTTAAATTTAACAATAACTAATTATAATTTAATTGGGGGGAGGTGTTCATTAAAATTTTAAGTTTAGAGAATAGACAACAAGCTGCTAAAGCTATAACCTGCAGAATTTTTCTGCTAAACCAAGGCAACTAATCCAGCCCCAGCCCGCAGGACACACATCAGGTCCACTCCTGTGATGAAGTATTGGCTTACTCAGGCAAAAAGTAAACCATGGTAGTGCCTAATCTAAGATTTAATCTGTTTAAACAAGTACTTAAGTATCGGATCACAGAACTCCTAGAGGGACTGCCATGCATTTCTTATGAATCATCATGCACCTTCAGCGAAGTTCTATTTTAAAAACATAATCCCACCATGATCTCCCAGACTAGCAACAAACTACATCTGGGGTAGCATCATGAGAAGAGACCTAAATAACAAACTATATATATCTCCATAAATACACTTGCTGCTGATGTTCCAGAAAAAACCAAGTCAGAACTGCGGAAGTCCTGTGCCATGCACCAGAAACACATCTGATGATACAGCAAACCAGCAACCACCTTCTCAATCAGAGCATCAGAAACATCATTTC